CAGCAGCAGCAGCAGCAGCAGCATCATCATCATCATTATCAGCTGCAGGTGAACGTCCTGGGGGACGCATGCTGCGTGTGGCTTGCCGAGTGCCTGCTGCTATGCGGCATGTGTGCTACTTAAGACTCGATCATTCCCGCCGAACCCTCCGCAGTGTGGCTATGAGAACTCCGACCGATCAGGCACGGAGCAGCAGGTTCGTGATTGCCGAGAGAACAGAGGAGCCAGCAGCTGTACAGACCTGGACACGGCTCACGACTAGGCCCCAGAGTCACTTACGACTGTCTGCATATATGTGTCCACACCGAAGGGGCTTGCAGTGCGTGCGACACAGCCACACGCCGTGCTTTCACGATGACCGTGGCTGACACCAAGCTGGGGCGCTGCACGGGTGCAGACGCACGCTGAAAAAAATTCAAGTGAAAGCTCTGCCTGCCATGTTCACAATTCACAAACGAGAACCTTGAGACAGGCTTTCTGATACGGCTTCACATGACGGTTCACGACGTCTATGCAATCACGTGACTGTGGGTGCGTGAATATCAAGGTGATGGAACAAATAGTCGTCTAAAGGTGCGTGCAAGTGGAAGTGGGGTGATCGCAGGTGCAGTCACCAGTACGGCACTCTTCACCTGGATACAGAGGGACCTCGAACCTGGGCTCAACTCTGAGGCGAGCGCAGGAACAAAAGCATCGATGATCAAAATTCACCTTCAGGTAGTGATTCCTGAGTGGTGAGGTTTTTGTGGAATTTGGAAACGTCATCTACACCAGTCATGAGTCCAAATCCATCTGACATGTGTTTGATGACGGAGCCAAATTCGCGCAGGCGTATCCAATGACCTTGATCCGCGTTTAAATGTCGCTCATAGCAGGCCGGCCCCAAACGGCGTCTCTGACTCTGCTCTGAACCAGCTCCCTCAGAGCAGCTCTAGCCTCGCCCTGACCTCGCACGTAAAACGAGGCTTCCGAGCCTCGCATATCTGCGCTGGACGTGCAGGTGATGGGAGCAAAGAGCATGTCCAAGGTAGATACGTACGCCAGCAAGGCATCGTCTTGTCCGAGTGCGAAAGCAAAGTCGAACGAGCCGCCGCCGGCCGGACCGTTGTGCCTCGAAGGACCAAAGTCGTGCTATTGTTCATCAAAGATCGAGGTCAGCATCTCGACCTCGTTGCCAAATCACGGCACTCGGCTCACCTCTCGCTGAGTTTGGAACATTGGCATGAAAGCGTTGCTGGGCAGCTTGTATGGACTGCTGTCCCTGACTGGGGTCCCTCCCTTGATGGACTCCACTGCTGGATTTCTCACATGTCTACCCATACCAAACGGATTAACGACAGGCGAAGCAGGACTAGCAGGCGTAGCAGCCGATGCTCCCATCTGCGACAGACTTATAATGTGCTGCACGGCGCTAGCTCTGCTCACACCTTTGGGCATGATCAAAAAGCTGGTGGAGCCAGGAATGATGCGCAGTGAGAAGCGCTCCCCAAGCGAGTCGTAGACCAGGTTTTGCAGCTCGGCGCTCTGCTTCCGTGCCCACTGCGCTTGATGCGAGTGCGGGTCTCCCGCAGAGCGTGACCAGAAGCGCCACAAGATGGACGCTCCGCGCTCCTCCATGTAGCTGCCTTCTGTACGCTCGGAGAAGTACGACAAAATTTCGCGCACTGGCGCCATCCACGAGAGATTGTAGCCGGCGACCAAGGAGACCCATTGGCGTGCACCACTTCCTCCAGGGCTAGCTTGATCTTGGGAATGCGAGGTGTTGCCGACGTAGCTGACCGCGCATCCGTTTTCGGCGATCAATCCGATCGCAGGCAGATCCTTGGCGAAACTTTCCAAGTCGCTCGTCCCTCTACCACTCAATAGATATACTCTATTCTTGGTGTCAGCACAGAGGTCCTTGAGTAGCTTGATCAGGGCCTCCTCTGGCTCCTTTGGAAAATCTCTCTCTGGTGCTGGCATGAGCGTATCCTCGAGATCGATGAGTAACAACCGTTTTCGCGCCGCTCTCCATTCGGAAATGAGCGAAGCGACTTCAAGTCGCGGAATAAAAGAGGATTGCCGCCTTTGAGTTTCCAAATGCGCTCGTTCTAGCCGGCTGAGGAGGCTCGTCAGCCAGTGCTGAGAAGTCTGGGTCAGAACGCATCGATGAAGATCTTCCCAGCGCGCAGAGGCCTCTTCAGCGGACATTGTGACTGCTTTATGAATGGCGTGAGCCACCTGTTTGGTGTTCCACGGGTTGATGCCGATGCATGCCCGCAGCGCAGAGTACGTTCCGGTGAATTCCGAAAGGATGAGCGGCGAGTGCTTCTCCTCTTGACAAACGACATACTCGTGTGATGTCAAATTCATACCTTCGCGTAGACTGCTGGCCAGGAAAGCATCCGCGATGGTAAGGAGCGCGAGGTATTGACTGAGGGTCATGTCTTGCACGTGCAAGAAGACGACGGGCTGGTATGCGAGGCTAGAGTGCTTGTTGTTGACGCGCGAGACCACCTCTGAAGAAGCCCCAATCTCGTCATTGTCCTCAGTCGTAGCAAGAGCGATCTGAATGAGAACCACCTTGCCGACCCATTCGGGATGCTCGTCGAGAAAGACTTCGAAAGCGAGGAGCTTTTGACGTACGCCCTTGATCCAATCCAGCTTGTCCCGCGCGACAATGACGCGCTTCCCATCATACCTTTCGCGCAATTTTGCCACCCACTCGCCCACTTCGGGATCTGCACGCTTCCGATTGAGATTGCGGACGTCGATTCCAATCGGAAATGCGCTGACCGTGACGAACCCGCCCCCTCTGTTGGAGTCCATCTGAATGCCCTTTGGCGTCGCTTCCAATTGCAATATACGACTGACTGTCTGTCTAAAGTGCCGGCAAAAGTTGTGGGTTTGAAAGCCTATCAGATCAGCACCCAGCATGCCTCGCAGAAGCTCTTCTCGTACCGAGAGACACCTAAAGATCTCCGACGAGGGAAAGGCAATGTGCAAAAAGAGGCCAATGGTGGCATACGGCAAGCGTTCACGGACCATTTGCGGCACCAACAAGAGATGGTAGTCGTTGACCCAGATAATGTCCCCCTCCCTGTATTCGGCCACGACGGCATCTGCAAATCTTCGGTTCACCTCGCGATAGCACACGAAAGCTTCGTGCTCTTGCTCCAGCCCGCGCTGGGATGGCAGTGTGTAGTGAAAAGTGGGCCAGAGGATTTGTTTGCAGAAATGTGTATAGTGACCCTGCATGAGGTCATCCTCTAACCACACCGGAGTGCTAGACCGCTCATTGCGGAGCCTGTCTGCAATCAAGGCGCGCTCGATCGGCCCAGCCCAGTCATCTATGGAGATGCCTGGCGTGCCAACATACACCTTGCCCGCTCGCAAGCGATCGCGAGATACGCTGTCGACGGCGTTGACCAAGCCACCGTTTGCGCTGGGATTCGGCTCAAAGTCGAATCGAGGAATGTGCGCTGGTGTCGACGAGGCGGAGATGATGCTCTCTCCGCCTGCATCCGTCATGCTAGCTACGGAAGCTCGTCTGCCTACCGAACGCCCGGTCGATGATGGATTGCGGCGTGAACCGCAACGAGGCCCTGGTGCCCTGTTCTTGGAGCTCATGCGGTTGAAGGAAGAAGATGGCGGCATGATGCCGCCATGCGTCTGGCGCGCTTTCTCAGCCACCGCATTTGGAGAGCCAGTCCCAACCACTGAGCCTGCGTAGTTTCTCCTGTCAGACCCCCTTCCGCTTCTGTCGTGAGGAGTTCCTACTGCCGAGCTCCCCGAGATCGCCTTGTTGTCCTCGTTGGATTTGCTGTGAGGTCGCGCGACTGGCCCAGGAGGTGAAGTCTCTGCAACGACGCCCCGTCCATGGTCATTGATGGTGCCTCCTGCGAGTGCGGAAGATACTGTGCCGGCAACCGCTGTCGCAGCAGCTTGCCCACCGCCTGATGACTTTTTGGCACCTCCCAGTCCAGTAAAGCTGAGCGAAGAGTGGTGGTGTGGAGTGCTGGCACCTCCTGTCGCAGCACCACTCATTCCTTCTGTGCGCGCTTGTGGCACCTTCATAGCTGACATGCTCAGGTTCATGGGCGGCCGACTCAGTGCCCCTTGCGAAGGGCCTTTGGCATTCGGGGGAAAGCCCGGTGTACGCACAGAGTGACCAGGCGCTTGAGATCCGTGTCGAGGGGTGACAGCACCTGAGCCAAATGGATGATGCCTCTCTTTGTCGCCGGGCGTTTGCGGACCTGGTGTGGAGAGAGCATGCATGGAAGTTTGCTTGGCCTAATGCGAGGCGACCAAGACGTCAGCATCAGCTTTTGGCGTTCAGCTTACCGCTCATCCGCACTCACAGCCAAGTCTCCGATGATGCTGAGCGGCGTCAAGGTGCCAGCTTTGCCTCCAGCCTTGGCTCCGGGAGTCTTTGTGCCCGATCTCGAATCATTCTCGCCAGGGACAGTCAAGCCGAGGGCACCCGGAGGAATGGCCCTGGGACCGAACGGTGAGCCACCTTGCGTGAAGCCACCCTTGTTTTCTCTGCCAGCAACATGCGAGCCGCTTCCGGAAGACCTTGATAGAGGCGTCGCAGCACTCAGAGAGGAGCCCGAAAGCTGGGTTCCCGGTGAAGTAGAGGCTACACCCCTTCCATGATCAGAGGCTGCGGCCACAGGGATGTCGGTGCCCTCAGCATTCGCTCCTCGAGTTTCTGTGAGTGCCGCAATGTTGGGTCGAAGAGCACCACTCGGGCTATTGCGGCGAGATCGCGTGGCTGCGGAAGCGTTGGCAGGCGACGGCACACGAATCGGCTGTGACTCCAAAGTGCTCGAGCCTCCTTGTCCAGACCCTTCGGATATGAGACTGGTCATTGTGATCTTGCGAGCATTTGCGTCTGCGTTGAAAGAACCTCGAGCTGATCGCGTCGTCCGCTGTACCCTAGCAGCACCAATCTCGGGTCCACTGTCCTCGTCGTCGTTGTCGACGGCGCTATCATCTTCTAGCGCATTTTCCCTCGCTCCGACACTAGCCACACTGACATGCTCGCGAGACTCGGGCGCCGACCTGGAAGCCGAATTTCGTTGGGGGACGTTTAGGCTGGTAGGTCCGCTGCTCTGGACAGAACTTCTGAGGTTCGCTTTGGCGAGACGATCGGAGAGCTCGTGTAAGGGCAAGTGATGCGTGGCAGCTGGTGGGGTATTGAGGGCATCCTCAGCGCGTGAAGAGTCGGCAGGAGAGTCGACGACGATGTTGCCTCCACCGCCTCCACCTTCGCCTAGAGTGGCTACGTGCCCTGCTGCGTCCGAATCTTCGTCCCAGGGGTGGAAGGCCAGCGTGTCTGGCAGGAAGAGATGCACCAACAGCAAGCGATGACCTACGCCTGACATGATGAGCAATGTGCCGGGATTTGTGACCACAGCCCAGAGCTCAGCAGGATGACGATGATCGAGCAGGATAGAAGGCCCTTCATGTTCGTGGGCGGGCACGAGAAGGCAAAGCTTGTAGCATGCAGGGTGCATGCTGCTGGTAAGCACCGGCGGCAATCTTTTGAAATCTCTTGAGCCGTGCGCATCGCATGCTGCAATCACGCATGGCCTCTCTCTGCTGCATCCTCACGCACGCGCTGCCGACACGCGTGCCATCAAGTTCGCTTCCTTTTTCCCCGAGAACGTTGTCTGACACGTGGAACGCTCCTGCAACTCATCCTTGACATTTTCCATCCACTTCCGTCAAGCGGTTCAGCTACGGCGTCTGGTCCGAGACATTAAGATCGATTCTCGACTAGCATTTGCAGAGCCAGTCTCGCGCTGTCCCTTCAAGCATTCAAACGAAGGAAGATCAACGACGGCATTGCATTGCAATGCGAACGGATTGGATCACTACCTTGAGTTCGTAATCGATCGTTCCACCGAACCGCAAATGCCATGGAACATATGGAGAGTCCTGCTGGAAGAGAGAAGATATGAAGGGCTAGCTGGCAGGCACAAGACGGTACCATGATGGGATCTTGTGACGTCGCCGAGGACGCGTGACACGAGTTAAATTCTGCGGCCAACGTTGCCGCTAGCTACGCGCCACAGCGCTCGCGACAGAGAGATGCCTGGCATGCCAAGCAGAGAGAGCTACATCAACGATAACTGCTATCCGACGACCACCCATGCAACACGACTTACCCCAAGCGTCGAACTGCGTCCAAGCAGAGTCAAATCAAGACGAGCTTAGCGGCAGCTTGTGACGTCGGGCATAGGAAACTTACAGTACGGGTGAAGCACTCGCACAGTACCAACAATACTGTCCAAAGGGCGCTTTGACAATCAGCTTACTGCGTGCGCATGCTATCAGTGTATGGGGCACGACTCACAAACCATGGAGCTTGCCCAATTGATCAGCGCTGCAGCCCAATAATCCAACCCAGCCTTGAGCAAATGGAGATGCACGAAAGCGCTATAGCTCCAGTAGACTTGGCCGTGTATTCTGAAGATCGACATGTTCGTCAGCATGACGCGAGCGAGCGAATCACTGATGGCGAGGGCTGTAATCCACTTACAGGTAAAGCGAAAAGGCGTTCCGGCCCAGGATGCTCCATGGACGCAAGGTGAAAGCGATCCGAAACGCATCGCACAGGTCACAAAGCAAAAAGAAACCCAGCGCGAAGCTGTGAAGAATGCGTTAAACCATTAGGTACTCCATGCACACTGCAAGCCGGCACGAATCTACACGCACAAGAAGCTATCTAGGCTCGGCTGGAACAGTACGATAATGATCAGCTATAGGAAGCCAACAAGAATGCGCGCCACCACGTACTTCATAATAAGGTGGCCCAGCTTGCGATGCGCGTGCCGCGTCGAGATCTGGATGAATGAGATGCTAGATCGCGTGCCACGGATCGAACGCACCGACTCAGCGCAAGTTAAGACTGCACGACTCAAGCTGCCCACTCACCTCTTTATCCCGGTAAATTTGCTTGTCCGCGGCTGCACTCCACCATGCCAAGGCAGCTCCCGTCGTGAAGAAGATCCACCCGATGGCCTGGGCAGGAATACGGATCCTTCCCTCGCGGAAGCCGAAGCGTGCCGCAAGTCTTGAACGAAGGCCCATGAAGCGCTTCTCACGATACTTGAGCTGCGCCAGCCATGAAGCAAGAAGCCCGCTTAGCAAGCGGCGCGACGACGTTCCACAGGTGTTGTTAACCTCGCTACTCAACTCACTCGATTGTCCAGATCGCTCAGCATCAGACCAGCGATGAAGAAGTAGTCCCAACGCGCAGCCCACCAGGACACTATGAAGCACACGACGTAGAAAGCGATGCGCTTGACGTGGTTCGGGATGCTGTTCGCGACGAGCGCGCAAAGGAAGGTCGTCCAAGAGCAGCTGACGATGACGGGGGTAGTCCACAGAATCCCAGTCGCGTACGTTGAGGTGGCGACCGGCACGTCGCCCGGCGCAGTGAACCACAAAAGCAAATCTGCACCGGGGTCCAGGCGTCAGGTGAATTTCTGCTTGCTCTGCGCACCTCAAGGTCCCCTTACAGGTGTTCAGGAACTGGCCGATCGAGTCGTAAGGCGCTAAGTAGCTCCACGATGACCAAGTTCGGGAGGGCAAACGACGCATCCAGACAAAAGCGCCACAGTCGGACAACAAGTACGAAAAGCTGAAGCACAGCCGCAGCGTCAGTTCAACTTCGTAGTCACGCCATCACTAGGTCTGTTGGCTCACGTCATAGCCGCCGTGATGGGGACCATCAGTCGTGGCGCTCTTCGGAAGATTGCTTCAGCAAGATCTGCTGGGCTTTTCTTGACTCTGGATAGCGGGCGCTGGTCAGAACTAGCACGGCAGACACGAGGAGAGAGCTCGCCGAACTTACTGGAAGCGGGCTACCATGACGCGTGAAGCTAGCATCTGTGGCACCACGACGCGGTCATGCGCATCTCAGCATCTGATACTCGGCCCTTCGCCGACACCAGCTTCATGCTCACGAAGAAAATGCCAACGTTGAGGTCACCGTTGGCGACGATGGGCCTACGCGGCATCCGGTCTTGTGTCAGCGATCAATTTGGCGAGACGGTGCAAAGGCTACTGACCCGGCGATCTTGCTGAAAGGTTGATCAATGTCTGCTTAGCTTGTAGACCACCGCTCCGTTCGCTTACGCCGCGCGATACTCACTAGAACAGCTCCGCCATCTTGGGGTACTGAGCAGGCGTCGAAGGTGTCCAAGCGGCGAACGAGTAGCAAAATATGAGTAGCCAATGGTGTGTTGCTACCAGGAGACAGGCCATGCCGCGAAGGCCGTCCAAGTAGTCGACTCTGCGAGCACCAGAAGCCGTGGTGCGCGTCGCACCTGGAGTAAACATCATATTGTGGAGGTGCCCCTTGACTGCTTTTAGAACGCTTCTTGGCACTATGGGCGCAAGCGCCTCATCGTGTTGGGGTCGACCCGAAGCAAGCCCACCTTCTGCACAAGAGGCTTGGAAATCTTGCGCTTCGACGTGACCCTCTTCGGACCACTCGATAAGTCGAAGGCTCGGATACAGATCGAGAATACTGACACAACTGTGAGATCTGCGCGGGCTCATGAGTTCCAACGTGGACGCCTTGGTCGAAAGCTGAGGACTGCTCGGGGAGGCTGTAGGCAATGTTCACGTCAGTTGCAGAGTAATATGGGATCAGTTGATTCATGACTCACGCTCTGGAGTGGCGAGACGCTGAAGCTCGAGGCTGCGACTGAAGAGAGTGACGGTGGACCCTCGTATATCCTCAGCGTTCGCCAGGGACGACGTGCCAACATCAGCATGACCGACGTCTGCAAAGGGATCTCTATTACATGAGCAAATACGGGGTGTGCCAGGATCGTTTTTCTCCTCTCCAATCACGAAGGCTATTTGACGCTCAAATAGACTAAGATCATCCCAGTCGGCCACTGTTCCCGTTAATCTCTTCTCCTGTTGACGGGTCTGATCATTCTCCACGTGGCCAAGGAAAGGATCGGCCGCTACCCCGCTGGTGGTCGGTCCTGGTTTCTGGGCGCTACTATTACGGATTCGATTCATCAAGACGGCTCGACGGTGCTTCAGGGCTCGGTGCACGAAGGCATGACCCAGAACCAAGGCGAAGAGAGATGCAAGAACGATCAAAAGGTCGGCGCTCCATTGCTTGGCTGAAGGGGAGGGAGAGGCGATGTCGATCGGCTTGAGTGCGGCAAGAGGGAACGGAGTCGAGTCGCTGCTGCGCAGAGTGAGATCTTCGGTGCTGCAAACTGGCGAAATGCCGCCTTGAGCCCGCGAACAACGTTTTTCGAAAGATACTCCTCTCTCCGGCAGGCTAGAGTTGAAAAAGGCTCTCACGAAGATGATGTACGCGATAGAAGACTCTGAAAGCGGAGGACCCATAGAGACGGATTGTTCGCCGTTGGAATAGTGACGAAAGGATAGGGCGGTGGGAGCGTGCGGCAAAGTGCCGCGCTTCCATTCTGGTTCGCGTCTCGCAAAGAATCCTGGCATGCTGTTCGAGGCATCAAAACTCCAAGATACTTCGCCGGGAAGCCAAGCGATACGGTGTTGGTGCACTTTCCCAGGAACCAAATCGATGTCTGTAAAGTTTTGCCGAAGAGCAGAGAATCCATGAAGCGAAGGGCCGGCCATGTCCCAACGAAGAGTAGCGTTTAGAGGCTGGTCTCCCGTTGTCAACATCGTGGAAATGGTTGAAGAGACATTGCGATGGAGGTTCACTTGTGGAAAGGCAACCAAGAAGCACTGTCAATCCTGGACCAAGACATTGTTCGAGCTTGCCGACTTATTACTCACTTTCGAATGCTGTGCCAGCCGCCAATTCGTTAAATCGAAGCGCAGCTGAGCTCGGCACGGGTTCAAACCTCAGCACACACGCTGGTGGTGTATCGGACACTCGACGACACTCACTAGTAAAAGAGCCAAACAGAATGTCCTGCCTTTGCGAACGAATTTGAGCGCCGTAGGAGATGCGCTCTTTGAGCAATGCCGGTTGGACCTCCAGAGCGAGCGCATCTGGAGAAGCGTTGGTCGTCATGTACGCATTCGATGCATGGCTTCCAGATCGAAATGTGGCGGTGTACCTTTTCAGTGGACCGGCGCATGCCGTCAGCAGATGATCAGCTCGGCGGGGACGCAGCTATACCCACCCGTCCTCCCACTCGTTGAGATTCTCGACACTGGACCAAAGAGCGCCATCCGTTGAGGTCCCGAGGAACTGGCCGTTCTTGTCGACTGGATCAAGCGTACTCCCGTCGCTCTCGTTGAAGTAGCTGATCAGAGCGTCAGTCCAGAGACTTCCCGTGGCAACATCATGGAAGCCGCATTCGCAGCGTGCATAGGCGAATACCGGCAGCCAGGAAAGGCAAACAAGAGATACAAACGCACTCATCGTGATCGCATGCCTAGTCTGCTGGGGGGGATGCCATGAAAAGTCGTTGAAGGAGAGATCGAGGTTCATCAAGTGGTGTGGACTTGCTGTAATACCGCACTCTACAAAGGCTAGAGCTGTCCCCAGCATGCACAGGGCGCTGCTGGGCTCACTTGTCGCGAGTCGAAGCTCAACACCCTACATTCGCATGAGTCCTCTCGTTGGTGGTAGGTGTTCTAGAGAGATTTTGTGCCCCCGCGCGTCGGGGCCAACCAGAATCCCGCCACACTCGCACCTGATCAACTCGAGCCCACCTTTGAGCACCAGCCACGCAGCCAGATGCTGGCTTCCTTCGACGACAGTCACTGAGTCGTGCTCAGCAAATATGTGCAGAAGCGCAATCGCAAACATATTCCACACGGGCACGTACGCGACAGAAGAAATGCGCAGCTATATAGATCGACATTATCCTGCACACTCACGACTCACACGCGTGAGCCGTTTCAGAGATTCGTGATGCACGCATGATTCATGATTGTGATGGATCGCAAGGGACGGCTCGCACTCAAGAGTCACGAGTGTCTCTATCGTGTATCGCGGCGCTTCAGAAGACATGCAAAGACACCAGAGACGACTTCTCAAGAACATTCCCAAAGCCGTCCCTGTTTCAAAACCGCGGACTTGCGTCAAGTCTGCTCGCAGGCTAGCAGCGTGAGACATTTACGATTGCACAGACACATCGTCTGCATGCACCCAGCCCGCATAACCTATCGCTCCCGCAGCGCTGAAGAAGAATTGCAAATCGCAGCGACGGATGGCCAAGTCGTGCTTGAATCAACAATCAAGAATCTGAATCGATAAGGGCCCAGAAGTATGTCGAACGAACGAGTCACGAGTCACAAGTGAAGTCTGCCCGCCTTTCGTGGTCGACCCGTCCATCAATGGTGGCGTCAGAACCTCGCTCACTGCGCATGACGCATGCCCGCAATGTGAATCAGTTGTGAATCACAAATCGCGAAACAGAGCATTTTCCTCAGCGCCATGGCGAAATTCCTTGGCTTCCTACGCGTCACATACACACCTACAAAGGAGCTTCTTTTTGTATTGCAACTTACTCACCGGTCGAGAGATAGGGAGCCCTAAGAACTCAGACCCAGACACGTTCTTGATCTCCATCTTTGACTCATCACACTCACGTGAACTTTATCGTTTGTATATCTTGCAGCATGTGACCGACCATCAGAAGGGGCATGCATCCGATCGATCAAGAAGGATCTCCATCACGCAATTCCGACGAATGATGGCACCTCAATCAAGAGCCAGACTGGATGAAACATGATTACTTGGACGACAGCCGGACCTTGCATGCGGCGATCCGGCTCGCCCAACGGTGAATTACAAAGGCGCGGTCCTGCTGGGCGTTCAACACTTCTGCTCTTCATTCGTTTCAATCGCTCGGCTTCGGGTCTCAATCTGATTCAAAAGTGAGACCACGGCCCGCCTGCTGCATATAGTGCTGGAAAAATGTGGTATCGACATCAGCTGACACGATACGCAGGCTGCTCGGCACAGAATCACGCGACATCATGTATTTTGCTGCTGTCACGTCGCAGCACGAGATGCCTGCCTTTGGAGCATTGGATGATATATGCAGCAAGACTTCTCACGAAGCGTGTCTCGCTTCATGTCTGCAAGATATGAAGTGCTGCATGGACATACAGCCTCTTTCTTGGCACACGACGATCTCGATGTTGAGTTGATTCGCCTGGCTCGCTCGCAGCTTTATTCGTGATTGTTCCGACAAAAGCACAGGTCATCGCGGCAATCACGAAGTGCTCAATCTCGATCACAACCCACGACTTCATTCCGAGAACGGCTGGACTGGATCGTAGAGGCGTGGATCAGGCGCGGACTTTCTGCACGCCCGCGTCGATCTCGACTCAAGAGAGTTGCGACAGGGCACCAGCGTCAAATCCGGAACGCAGGAACTCCGCTGTCACGCTTCAAGGCACCAACAAAGGATGGTACACGAATCTTGGTTTCAACGCTCAGAGACTTTGGAGCACGTTCCATCTGGCACAGTGCGTCCATTGTCATCTCACATTGTCTCACGGCGCAATCACGAATGGAAGGAGCTAGCCAGATCGAGCAGGATCATCCACTCGACCTTCGCATGCTCATCCCTCTGACTTGCTTTTCTGACAAGCATGCAGCGTCGGTGAGCCAAGAGTCTCATCAGCTGCCGAAATGCTCCTATGCCAGTCATTTACGACTCCTAAATTGAGATTCATATCTTCGCACACCGTCGGCTTGCGGCGACTTTTTGCGCAGCGCCGCACTTCCACGATGCCCGCTTCGCCATTGATCCGGACAGATCAGAATCGTTCCGACTGCGGACCGTTCCGAGGCTCATGGGGTGATATAGGCATCTCGAGCACCAACGAGCATGGCATATAGCAGCACTGGCCCACGATCAAAAGCAAGTTCAACTAAGCTGGATTGAATGAGCGTGCAGATCACCCGAAACCGTTTGCGTCTTGCTCTGCCTGACCTGCAATTGGGTCTCGGGGCAAAAGCACGCTTTCGTCTTGCGAATGATAAGCCCTACATAGCTCGCTGAAACCCGGTCGGGAGGACCGCCATTGGTGAGTACATGCGCGATAAGGCGCATTCATAGCAGGACTCATATCAAAGTCACGCTCACCAACGACAGCGTAGTCTTGAGCAGTCACAAGTGCTCAAGGACCACGGACCACCGCGCGCTTGAATTCACCGACGCCCGCCTGTGCTGATAACGATCGTCATCGTTGCTCACAGCTCGATCGATACACGAATTCCGACGTTTACAATCGTGAGTACCTGCGAGCGAAATTCGCTGCGCTGAGAAAGCTGTCAAACCTTCGATAGCCCACTTGGCAAAGCCGTTCACGTTTCCAGGCAGGACGTGAGAAAACTTTGTGAACTGGTGAGAGCGAAAGCGCTCCGCCCTAGCAACCCACTGGCCTCTGTTCTGCGCCGCTTGGCGATTAGCTGATAAACCTTTCGGCTTCGATTTTGATTCTCACCCTCTACTCGCCCGCGTGTAAATAAGCAAGCGAGTGCATGATCGACCTTCCCCTCGTTACATCTGTCTGTCTGCCGAGCACCAACGCTCTTCCGTCGTAAAAATGATAGAGGAGAAAGTCGTCCTTCACGGGAGCTCGCATTCTCGCGAGCTTGCCGAGCAAGAGACCCAACCTGCTCGTAGTCTGCAAGCAGAAGACTTAAGTGCCAGACTACGTCTGCTTGGCCGGATCGAGAAGGACACGCTTCGTAAGTGCTGAGTGCGGCTAGTCTAGCGAGCATACCGACACTCAAGCTGCATTTCCCGCCCCTGATTGCCACAGAAGTTCCAGGTTCGCCTCGTTCACCAAGCCGAGCCACTCGCTCTCCGACGATGGCGTCGCCTGCCTCGCCCGAAGAAAACACTTCGTCTAGAACCAGCTTTCTTCACAGCCCGGACAGCAGCAGCAAGACTGCTCGCAGTGACGCACCCTCGCTCGGAGGACCGCCATCGCCCATGATTCGTCTCAAGACTAGGCTCGAAGTCGAGGATGTTATTCTACGATTTGAGAACGAGTGAGTGTCCAGTCGATCATCTGTAGGCCTCCCTTAAGAGTATCGATCTGATGACGATGTCATTGTAGCACCTCGCCAGCATCCTTTGAACAGGATCCCGCTGTAACTACTCGCGTCAAAAAAGAGTTACATTTCACCTTGAATGACGACGACGCACCTCTGTTGTCCACGCACACTGGCGGTATCTTCTCTCATTTCGAGACATCAGCGTCGCCCGCCACTCTCTCAGCGGTAGTGGCGGTCGAAACGCGCTCAGCACGCTGGCGTCCAACACGCCCCACTGAAAGCAAGCTCACACCTGCTGTGAACGACTTGCCTCCTGCAGAGCTTTTTCCATCGCCTTGGGCCTTCCAGATGAGCTCTCCCGTCTCACCAGCCGAGTGTGGACGTGAGTCTGCCGAGGACCAACCCAGCGTGGAGCGAGTCTACGAAGTAGGAGGTGTCGAACACGTTCAACTCAGATGCACGGTCTGCAGCGGTCAAGGCGAGCATGCTTGCGTCCGTTGCCTCGCCACCCAACCGGACGAGTGCTTTGCTTGCGAAGGCACAGGGGTCAACTACAAGGGCAAGCAATGCGCAATCTGTCTCGATGGCAATGGTCAATATCTGTGCACAACCTGCCGTGGCTCTGGATGCCAACCGTGTCGAGCTTGCAGTGCTTTTGGCTTTGTCGAGCACGCTTTCACCATCACGTCCCGAGTGAGTCGAGCGGGCTTGGGCCATCGATGCTGGTGATGCCTCGCAAAACTGATGCCTCCACTCGTGGTGCAGATGCACTTCTTGCAATTTCCTGCCATCGACCTCGCTTCCACAAATGTCACCCAGTCAGCACCTCGATCGTCCGAGCAGCGTCACCAGGACGCGATCGCTCTGCTTTGCCACAAGGTCAACGAGGTGCTCGAGGCAATCAGTCGGAGGCCCGGAGCAAGCAGACCAGTGCTGGTGCCCGCCTACGCCTTAGCAGTCGTGAAGCTCACCTCGGGCACGATGAGCCCTTCCAACGCCGACAGTAGGTCGCTCTTTGCGCCAAACGAAATCAGTCACGCTGCCAACGAGCACGATGCATCGATCAATGGCCAAGAAACCGACTCGCCGCCAGTGCATCCAACATCCAGCATTTTTGCCTCTGGAAGAAGCAGTCCTGCTATCTCGACTCGACGTGCAGGCGGTCTTTCAATTGCTCAAGACAAAGTCTCCTCTTCAAGGTTGTCCACCGTCTCCATGCCCAATATCCACAAGTCTGGTCAGGCTGGGCGCAACAGTTGGCTAAGAGCAAAAGTACGCGCCTCGGTCAGCGCACTGACCCGTCGAGTGGTCCGTCACAAAGACGGTGGGCCAGCTAGCCCGAAGCAGAATTCAACGCACAGGTCCGCTTCGTAGAATGCTTCTGTACCGCGTGCTCACACAGATTCCCAGCCTTGGCGACGTCCCGCGTTACAGCGGTAATATTCTCGATAGATTTGCTCGTCAGTCGTTGCCAATCAAAGCTCTCGAGTGACAAGCACAGACAGATGGACGTTCCTTTCCCCCCACCCTTTTGCTCCCCTCCTCTCCTACGCGTCCGCATTCGATTCGCGAATTCAAGACCTGACAGATCAACCACGTGTGAATGTCATACTCTAGAGCAAACCTCCGCACATGTAGCCGTCTGCAATCGTCGTGGACCACGAATCCGTCCGAGCTTAACTCAAGGCCTCGAGAATGAAGAACTTGATAGGGGCAAAGCGACGGGCCACTAAGAATGGCAAGCCTTCAAAGAGTCACTGCGCTGCTCACCATCAATCATGTTCGTTATTCGGGCAAGAGGCAGCCGGAGATTCGTCGATAGAGTACATTCAACACGGTTCAGTATGGATGCGCGAATGAAGAGAGTGAAGCGGAGTGTGGCATGGATGGATTGGGAAAGAAAGGCAACGTCTTGCTCGATTCGTGTTCTCGCATGGGGCAAGAGGCTGCCTAGCGTAGGAAATAGGCGAAGAAGCAACTCCTGTGTAACCCTCTGCAGTCTCGTCTGCTCCTCCACCCAAAGAGGTACAATCAGGCTGCACGCTTCTGTGCTTCTCTGCCCTGAAAAGTGCTGATTCGAGTTGGGCAGACTGATTATGCTTGTCGTGTGATACGCTCAGTCGGTAGCAGTGACAGCCTTCTTCTTGCCGCTAGTCTTGATGAGGGACTTGTGAATGTAGGGAAGGACACCACCACCGGCAATCGTGGCGCGGACCAAGCTGTCCAACTCCTCATCACCACGAATAGCCAGCTGCAAGTGACGAGGTTTGATACGCTTCATCTTGAGGTCCTTGGCAGCGTTGCCTGAAGTCGCATATGCAGATGATCAAGTCAGTGCTGATTGCTGTAAGCGCCATCGCTGATGTATCGCGAACTTCACTCACCAGCAAGCTCGAGCACTTCGGCAGTGAGGTACTCCAAGATGGCGCTGGCGTAGACGGCAGCCTTGGCACCGACACGAACGTGGTTCTGTCCGCGACTCTTCAAATGACGGTGGATTCTACCGACCGGGAACTGAAAATGAAAGGACGATCAACGGTCAGCATTGCATGGCAAGGCGAAGCAAGCGTCACCGAGTGCTGACCAGCCAAAGGGCCAGCTGGAGTCATTCACAGCTAGAACGAGTTCGGCGCGCAGTGCAAATCTCGACTCATTTGCAGTCGCGAAGCTTGTCGGGTGCCTCGAATGAAGAAGATGGAAACAGCTAGACAAGCGTCACGGACGACGAGAGTGTGCTCCGCGCGTATGGCGCAGCAATGCCGTTGCTTCCGCCACGACACGGAGCTGTTCTACTCGAGGTCCCTGTGGCGCTAGAATTTCCCAAAGTAGCGTCCGACCACCTGACCGACCATAGCGATGTGGAAGAGCTGCGTAAAGCTCCCCCAAAGCAAACATGCTGCAAGCCACCACGTCGTGATCTTGCGATTTGAAATTTGTACTCACTTGCAAACCAGCACGGAAAGATTGAGTAGTGGCCTTCTTCTTCTCGCCGGCACCCGAGACCTTGGAAGCCCCGCCAACGCTAGCCTTTCCACCGCGAACCTTTGCGTCCGACATGATGCTCAAAAGTATTTGTAAGTGGGAGCGATCAAGAGCAGACTTGATCAAGTCTAATTCCCCCCCGAAAAGAGCACGAAAAAGTTTAGAGCTTACGATGCTCCGACTCGGCTCGATCAGGTGCGTGTCCGAAACGAAGACGACAAAAGTTGGAATGCGCGAATCGATGACGAAGCTGCTGATAGATGATCGTACGATCGTACTCCTGGGCTGTAGAGGTGGGCGACGAGGCTCAAGTGGATTGGATATGATGGAGGATCTGAAGACCGTAGTCCAAGAGCCGCGTGCTTCGAATGAGAATCGCGTCAATAATGCGCAATGCGCAAAGTCCACGGAGGAGGCTGCTGAGGCGCGCAGCGGCGGTGCTGCTGGGCGGGGGCGCGACGCGCTTGCGCGCCCGCTCCGCCGACGCGTTCTATCAGGCACTTGAACAGTGTGAGCGATATCCGCCAGTCTGTGGCCCGACAGCACCGATTCAAACCCGCGTTTTTACCGCGTGGGCACCTCGAGCGAGCGAGCGAGCGAGCCATCCATGAAGCGGACCGCCACTCACTCATTCGTGATGCATCTCGCCATTCATGTTTGATCGCCGTGATGCTCACAGCGGCACTCGATGGATTGATTGCCTTTCCACCTCAACGATCCACTCGTCGTGAATGTTCAGGCACACTCTGACTGAGACAAGCGTGGATTCAAGATTCCACGATTTGATAGGCACCGGAGACTACGTACATGATGCCGGGGAAGGATTCGGGGATCGAAGCTCGTGTACGTCTTGTCGACCGCATCCCGATCCGATGCTGGTCTCACAATGCGCATGCAATGTGATGCCCATTGGATCTGTCCCGACGCTCTCGCAAGCGACGGCAGCTCGGCCAAACAGGCCCCGCTGCTTGCCTTCATGGCTACTCTGCGTCGACGCGAGGAGTGGCGATGACTACTTTGGGCTTTGGCGCTCCGCGGGCAGTGGGGTTCCACTTTGGCAGCGATAATGTTGCAAGGTCAGGACTCAGCTGACCATACTACTTTGCAGTGCACGCACCCGCACTCACCTTCTCGTATTTGGCGACTTGGCGGAAGTGAGCAAAGACGGCTCCAATGCTCGACATGGTAAACCAAAGTGGACAGCAAATGCCGAAGAGAATGATTGCCCAAGGCCTTGTGAAGGGAGATCGGTTGCGCAGGTTGATCATGGACACAGTGGCAAGACTGAAACAGGGCCAAGTCCGAGCCTTTTTCAGCACACACGGTGCTCGACAAGCGTCCAGAATGACTTGTTGCCCCCCTCACCTGATTATATTGAAAGCCAGCAACCAGTTGGTGACGTGATATCCGGTCCTGCACGCGCAAGCGAGAGGGGGGCGTGAGCTGAAAGCAAGAGAATGAAGCGGGACAAAGGCCTTGGCATGACTTACAGACCGTACCAGAAGTCCGCGAAGGTGCGAGGCGGATTGAGAATCACGTATGCCAACAGCAAGCAAGTCTGCAAACAAACATGCTGAGCAATTGCCGCACCACTCTGATCTCTGCTTGCTCACTCACAAGCTGAATCGGCAGATCTGCAATCAGACCAAGTCGAAATCAGCGACACCTTTCACATTCGAATCCCTCGACACATAGGCCGAGTCACTTACAAAAGTACATTTCGCGAAAGGGGAGGAGGAACCACATTCCAAGCCGGCTGCGGAGCTTTGCACCATGCGCACCTCTCTTGATCGCCGTCAAGGAGTGACGCAGAGCTACCTGAAGTGGGGGCTAGGTGGATCAAAGCGTGCAATCGTGCTAACATCAGGTCAAGCTTGGTATGCACTTGCGTCCACCCTTGTGACCAGCGGAGTCTCTGTTTGAGCAACGCCTTGAAAGTCGTTCTGAAGAGTGGCGCGGATCACACATGGGTAAAGATGGGGCGAAGCACGAGCTAGAGAAACCCAAGTCGCACTCACGGAGCGGTCTCGAAGGAGACGATCTTGATGTCGTAGGCGACTCTCGCGCCGCTAGTGATGGCTCGCATGGTTGCATCGATGTCCTCGGTCTGGAGGGCGAGCGGGTCGTCAGCACTTTGCGCTCGGTCGTTGGATCACCATGACACGCACCAGCATACGACCGTCCATGCCTAGGGACCGCAGAAGTGATGCGTTCCAGTAGCCGTTCGACCCGCCGAACCTGATTACATCCGAGCCATCCCATTTAAGATGCGGGAAGCATGACCTCGAAAGAGATGCGATCGTGCACTCACAAGCCGAAACCGTGCGCTGAGCAAGTTTTGAATCCATCTTTCGGTCATCTACAAGCAGCAAAACAAAATGGAAAGGGGGGGTGGCGTGGAACTCACCAGCTGCGCGCCCAAGGTGAAAACATCCATAGATGGCGTCGAACTCGGCTGCAACCACTACGGTCAAACAAGCCAACATTCAGCATCCACATTGACCCGCATCCCAAGTCTGACCACGTGTCTCTCACAGCGCGTGAGCCAGGTCTCGTCGAAGTTGTAGATGCAGCAACGGCCTATAGACAGGGGGGTACTCGTCAGCGCAGTTGCCGCATGAATGCTCACGCTCACGCTCTCTCTCTCGACTTTCCTTGAACTACGTCGATGTCTCCAGTCTTGAAGCGCCTTGCCGCCCAATGAAGCGCGCAACCTTCTGGACAGTGATCAGCATCGCTGCAAGAGGAGTCGAGAAGGGCCCATCAGATTTCACACAGGGTTGCGCTGAGTTACTAGCAATGATCCCGTGCTCACAAAATGGCGACGATGTCCGCTATGCTTGACACATTCTTCAAGTAGTAATTGACGTTCTGCACAGCTTATCAAGTCTCTCAACGCGGAGCGGCGAGCGGACAAGGTCAAAGGGGACGCACTCACATCGCACTTGCTCTTGCTGCCCAAGACCTTGTGCACTTGGACATTATCGTAACGTCCCGCGAGAGCTTGCATTTCCGCTTCCAGGGCTTCCATGGGCTTTGGTGTATTGTAGACCACCATGAGATTGAACCGAGACGCGGGATAGCGAAGCTCTCGGATGATGTAGCGCATCTGGAAGGTGCACGATCGACATCAGCATGGCGCTCACGCAAGGTGTCAAAGTCCGGCACCGCACCTGCTTTAAGATGATGTCGGCCTGCAACGGATGTGTCCGTCAGCTCCGCCTCAACAAGGCCTGGCTCACGAAACCTTCACCTCGTTCGGCAGGTAGGCTACGACCACAATGTCGAACTACACCGCAGGAGGAGACACTTGAGATCGAACTTGACAACAAAATTCAAATCCCCTCCCTCCCAGCCCATCACTCACAAACGGACAATCCTTCTCCCGGGCCAGATCAGTAAAGCCTTCCTTCTCCGCCTTGCGTCTGGCACGACGCGCAAGTATGGCAGGTCTGATGGAGTGCACCGCTTCCACGGTGACGGACAGCGACACAAAAGTCTGCAGCACCGTGTATGCCCAAAACAATCCTTCGTTCCAACGAGGGGGAAGTGCAATGTAGAGGAGCATGCTGTCGAACGCCGAGAGATCACATGGAAAAGGGCCATGAACACGGGAATCTCAATTTATCCCCAAGATTACTCACGAAGATACTAGGAACAGAGAAAGCAGAACGAGAGGCGTCCCTGCATCGCGTTTCGTGTCAGTCGTGAGTCGTGAGTCGTGAGTGTCACTGAGTGGAAAGCTCGACGCGTACAACGAGCTGATGGAGCAAGCTCACATTCCATGACAGCATCGCTGGCCGTGCCTATAGCGGCCGCGATACCACTGAAGAGGGCCATGTCGGATGCTTCGTCTTTCGTATCCTGCAAGTTTCGTGCAGTATCAATCCCTGAGGCAGGCGGCGAAGGATGCTTGGGCGCATGCAAGCTTACCTTCGAAGTAGCTGTCGCTGTCGAAGTGTAGAGAGGGAAGAGCGGCGCAGGCTATCAGGCAAGACGGGTCAGCTGGCGGATTGGATGTCGGTATAGCAAGCACCCTGATCACTCTGCTCTGCTTTTGTTTGGCGGAGGTCGAGATTGTGTGGTGTGTGATTCGATTCGTCAATCACCTCTACCAGGTCAAGCCTAGCTGCCTGGTATTGCGCGCCGGCCTTCCCCTACGGCAGACAGCGGCGCTATGGTGACGAGTCTGAGTATATAGATAGGCATGCAGCATCCTGCCCTCGGATCACATGGCTTTCTGGTCGTGAGTGCGATTCGCAAGGGACATCATCAGCCCTCGAGCAAGATCGAGAGCTGCATGGGATGCTTGCAGAAGTATATACATGCACCTCAGCCTTGCTCGTGACTCATTGTGATTCGTGAATCACATTCACATTCAAGATTTGATTGTGATTCACGATTGCATGGGAGCTTGGACCCACGCGGTTGTGAGATGGCCATGCATGCCGCAGCGCTTAGTTGTGAATGTGTACGTGCTGGATCCTCCAGGGCCGGCCTCAGAGCGATTCGCGCATTTGACCTGACGTTGACTCACGACTGGAAAAGCAAATCACCAATCAATTAAAATGTGAATGGTGAATCATGAATGGCTGACGCTCTGCTGCGCACGCGCACTCGTGCAGCCGCATCTCTGAAGGCGGTGCGATGATCAGCATTGGTGATTGGTGATTCGAGATCGCAGCATCAATTCGTGTCAGCGATCAGCGAAGCATGACTCTTGCGCTCATCCGTCACTATAAAGCTGAGTCTTGAGTTTCATCACTCAAACCACTCCGATCGACAATCGCAAATCACGAATGTCCATTCACGATTGCCGCTTCTCGCTTGGCTGAATCAGAGTTGCAAATTCTGTGATGAGGTGCTCAAAAATCCTCGTCTGTATGTATGTTCCAATTTTGAGTCAGCATGGGTCATGAGTGCATCTGCATGAGTCTCTTTTGAAATCGACGTACGCGTAGACACGAAAAGCTGTGTGACGTACGTGTGCTGGCTATGAGTGTATTCAGACTCTCACACAAATCACTGCATCGATCATTCAGGACTCGCGACTCACACTCAAGACTCGTGCACGACTCATGACTTAATTGCAACTCTGTTCTGAAGCAAGACTGCTGATGAATGGATTTGTGCTGCACGCGATCGACAAGCGCATCCGACGCGAGACCTGTCTCTACCTGAAGCGAGGTGTCGGCTGAGTTGAATCATTGGATGGCAAGGTGACACAAAGTGCGTCAGGATCGTCAGAAAGCCTGACTCGTGCATGAAAAGCGAATGCTCTCTGATGCGCATCAAGAGTTGCTATTATCTATATATGCAACTCTCAGTCAAACTTAGTCGATGAAGGATCGCTAACCTCTTCCTCTTTGTGTAAGTTTGGTTGCGGCCGCCATTCGCGATTTGATGGTGAACGGTGAACTCATCATTCCAAATTGAATCTTGCTTCGTGATTCTGATTCGTCATTCACGTGATTGTAATCCTGATTGATGCTCAAGGCTCGACCCATGTGTTGACAAAAATGACCTGATGTGCACCCAATTCACGTATGTGGTCAAGATGGAGTCAGTCTTGAGTCATGCAGCGTCACAAAATGCGCAACAACAAAAGGGATTCTCGTGGCTCTCGCAGCCCTGATGATATGGCAACATCCAAAGCACGTCATTCTGCTTGTTCCGCCAAAGCTTGCGCTCGTGTCACAAATAATCTTGAACCACGAATGACAATGAGTTCGGCTGCTCTCACGTTTGCTATAGCTATAGCTGCTATCTCTCAGACCAGGTCAGACTATATAGAGCGCTGACGGACTTCCGCGACCGTGAGTGGGTGTCAAGGCGGGCACCTAGTTCCTGCTGCTGAACGGCTGTCCTGCTGCATCGTGTATCCAAGTCTTCTCCTGCGCACTCGCCAGCCATGCAAAGGCAAAACTTGAAACTCGACAATCGTGAATGTGCGCATCACGGCGTCCTCTGTCAATGTGCGCTGATAGCCACCCAGCAGCAGTGTTTCTGAGATGTGCCAATCTTGATCTCTAGTCCCTGTTGCAGCTCCAATCATCTTACTCACTCTGCACCGCTGAAGCTGCCTGTTGCATTCCTCAATCTCCTGGGGAGTGTACCAAAGTCGAAAGGTGGTGCTCTTCTTTCATGAACATACCTCCCTGGACAAATCTCCCTACGCACTGGTGCTGCGATCTCGTCAGCGCACAAAAAGTGTCAACATCGAGCCACGATGAAGCTGAAATTCCTTTGGCAGTGGTCCCGTCGCGCGCCAGGCCCTACGTCTCGAATCGCTAGCGAGGAACGCGAGAGCACTCCCCAGAATGCGACAGCCAAGAGGGGCCAAGATGGTACGAAGCCGCACCGCGCGCTTCATCTTGACGGCCTCAAAGGTCTCATCGCCCTCCAAGCATGGGTCTACGCCTTCTTTCTCATTCTTTGTCCAGGTGAGTCTCTATCGACCCACTTCAAGCCATTCAACGGCGCTTCTTACTCCGCACTCTGGATCCTTCTAAGGAGTGATCACCGATACTTCAGTAGATGGTGCTCAGCCTGCTGCATTCCTGCTCGGTGGACCAAAGTGGCAGGACAAGATTCGCAAAGTAATGTCGCCGCTGCTCTTCGACGGCTCTCTACAAGTCTCCTTCTTTCTCATGATCTCTGCTAGGGTGATCAGCGAGGGCGAGTCTTGTTCCCGTCTTGTCTTCCTACCACGCCCCAACGCTGACATGCCCTGCATACGCCTTGCTCCCTCGGACGGCTCGTGGGCTCGTAGACTTCTTCAAGAATCCCGACATGGCTGGGCTCTCGCGAAGCATATACCTTCGTCCGCACCGTTTCGTTCCGCTCGTGGCTGTCGCGGTAGGCTCGACTCGCATCTTGCTAGCTCTTCAAGCCTTCAATTCCGCCAATCGATGGTCAGAACGACTGCCCAGCCTCTACTCAGTCGCGCCAGCCTCTTTCAGCTCCTTTCAACAATACCTATACATCCTGACGAGCATCTTCTTTTCCACTCACGACCATCTGGATTATCGTCCCGACAGCTTCTACCTATCTCCCCGAAACACCTCTTGGGCCCTGGCTCGCATTTTTCAACAGAGCTTTACGGTCTACGCGTTGCTGGTCATCCTGCCATTCGTGCGCGCCAAGTACCGCCTCGGAGGTCTTGCAGCTTTCGCCCTAGTGGCCGCCTGGGTCGGAAGTTGGGCTTGGTACTCCGTGTCAGGTGTAATCATCAGCGATCTCTCTCACCGAGGAGTCTTGCAATCCATCAGCCGATCCTCTTGGAAAGTCGGTCGGTTCGCGATTCGCAAGTGCACTTTTGCTACTTGCCTTTTCCTTGTAGGAGCAATGCTCAAGTACGCAGGCGCGGTCTGGCCAAGCGTGCGTAAAGCTGAGCTGGTCGCTCACGCAGCGCAGTCCACCGCAAGACTCAACCGCAACTTCGATACCTCTCAAAAAGCCTACCCTCGCTTCGACAATTGGTTCGTGGTCATGGCGATCCTCTGTCTTGTGGAGATGAGTCCGAGAACGCGCAAGGTTCTGAGCGCCAAGCCTCTGCGCACGTTTTGCAAGCTTTCACTTGGTAGGTCGATTGTTGATTGGTCGTAAGCGCAAATACTTTCAAATCGCTCATGTTTCGAAGCAACCCTTGCCTTTGCCACCTCGGTCCAGCGCTCCATCTTGTCTCGGGTCTGGTCATTCAGACGCTGGGCAGCGAGTTGGTAGAAGTGTCGATTGCGCGCACGAATCGAGCAGGTACAATCCTCAGGACCAAGGACTTCTCCGTTGCCCTGGCGATAGCATTCATCGTGTGTTTTCCTCTCTCGGTCATCATCGCCAAGATGATAGCCTGGGGGCTGGACAGACCTTGGCGCAGATTTGCCGTCCACAGCTGGGAATGGCTAAGCTGCTGATTCGAGCTGCGATCGGTGCAGCTCTCCCTTAGACGACGTATCTCTCTGACCTTGAGAACGAGCCACCGCGTCCTAGAAAGGAAGCCGTTTTCAAGGCAGACCACCTGTGGGAAACGGCAATAGACTCAGCCGTAGCGGTGCGCTTGTGACCTCCCATGTGACACTCACGTCCCGAATTGATAGCCTCCGCAACCTGAGAAGTGTTTGGTCTGTTCTCTGCATATCGTGCGCTAAGAAGATGCCGGGCCCAGTATGGAGCATAGACCGGCGATCGGAACAGTCAACGTGGGGTCAAGAAATGCTTGTTCGCCAAGGCTGCGAACGCACTAGCTGTCGAGGTAGAGCTCATCCGTGCTCGTCGTCGCTTTGACCGCGGGGTGAGCCAGCAGTGCACTTTGCCACCTGTGCGCAAAGACTTTCAGCGTGGGGGACCTCATTGGCACAAGAGGTTTCTGCAGCAGCTCACTTCTCGTACCGCCCGTCGGGATCAGCCTTCATATCGAAGCCTCTGTAATGCTGGAGAGAATTGTGCACAAATTGTCGCTCAGCCAAGCATTTGGAATGTCGTTTTCGTGTCTTGATCTGCTCATCAACGCACCTTGAGCACTATAGCAGCCCGGATGGCCCACGGAGCAATCATGACATCTGCCCAGCCAATCTTATCCGTGCCGTCCCAAAACGGTCCGCTTCCCTGCTGCATGCTCTCCACGAAAGCGGTCATGCCATTCAAGAATTCCCTTCCAGCCTCGACCTGTCTCTGCACCTCTTGCGCCTGGAGGTACTTGTAAAAAGCAGGCAAAAGCGTTCGATTGATCTTGTCGGCTGCCAGACGCGCCTGAGCCCTTTGAAAGGGTCTATCGATGGATGGAAAGAGAGCTCCTCCGCGCGAATCGCTGCGCTCGGCCAGGTACTCCATGATCACCGTCGATTCGCCCAAACCATTGTGCGGATCGGGACCGACTTGGACAGCGGGCACCAGACCTTTGGGATTGAGCGCCAAAAGTGAAGCTGGTTTGGCGTAGGGGTCCACTGTGGGTCGGGGGGGGGGAGCGGTAGGAGTATGGTCAACAAGTGGATAGAGGCTGGGTCAAGCAAGGTGATTCGAGGCGCCTCCTACTTGCTCACCTTCGACGTACTTGTAACTGCAAAAGAAGGAGCAGACCAGAGATTTTGAGATGGAGCAACATGTCGATAGCAAGGAGTCGTGACTGGGCACGCAAAACCCACTCACGGCAGACCTAGCACCTCGAGCGTGATCCAAGCTCTGTGTACAAAGGGACTTTATGGACAACATTTCGTCGATGTAAGGATAAGAAAGGCGGCACATCATACGTCCACCACTCCTTGATTCTTGACTTGACTCTACCGCTCAAACGTACCAAAAGCAGCTGCCATACAGCGTAATCTCGTCACCCGTAGATGGCTCAACATCCTTTTCGTGCCGTCTGGCAGTCTCTAAAGCTTGTCCAGTGCATTGCAAGTGATAGCCATTCGCATGTCTTGGCTGGGATGATGAAGTTGTCGACATGATCTCTTCTTCTCGTCGAGGAGGCTAAGCAGACCCGTTCTCAAAAGGCTGGTGAGGGAGGGCAAGAGGTGAACGTGAGATGGGGCATCCGCGGCTCGGACTGGTGACGAGATATCATGCAACGAACGATCCAGCAGCAGTCAGCTCGATGTGGAGGTCTGCAGCGTGGTTCACCAAACCGCTCAGCAGAAGCCTGTGGGCGTGGCCCCGCATGCATGCGCCACGTCGCTTCCACCTTGCCGCCCTGCGGCCCACTTCGCATCTTTCGCAGCCTCATGTCCTGGCGTGAACTTGTTCGAGATGATCACATTGCTATTACGAGTCGGGTACGATATGAGTGCGGGGAGTGAGACGAGAGACACCGAGTCGAAAATAACGAGAGTAAAGTCGGGGTCGATCGCGGCCCACCAGCAAAGACGTCACGAGCGCGTGCTCTGTGATCGCACTGTGTGCACAATGTGAAGAGCGGTAGCGAGCGAGCGAGAGAGAGAGAGAGCGGAGAGTCGCGGGCGCCGCAGACCGAGTTTGATGCCATGCTACAAAGTCGGAGCTCAATCGTCTCGCACGCTTTCGCTGAGCTCTCCGCGTCCGTTCCATGAGAAGCCAGAGAATTGATTTTGAACGGTGGCGCTCAACTGCACGCAGGCAAGCGAGGTTTGGTCAAGGGTGTCAGTGCGGTCAAAGGGCACCAAGCCGAGCGACGAATGGCCGAGAAAGCTCACCATGTGACTATCGTCGACGACCGAGTCAATCGCGGGCTCGTTTGTGAATTCTGGGTCAAAGTTGGACGTGTCGATGGCAGAAGCCTGCAAAGACGAAGAGCATGGGGGAAATGATTCAGCTTCTGCCTTGAAGAGATGGTGACCACGAACGCATCTCACCACGGCAGGCTTAAAGGGCGGCTGAACCTTCTTGGCAAGCAACCTGGTCCAATCAATATGCTTTGCAAAGAACGGGTGGTTCTTGATGTCCTGAGCACCGTTGGGTCCAGATCCCAGCCTCTCCGCAGGGTTTCTATTGAGCAGCAAAGTCAACAAGCTCCTAGCATCAGAATGCACTTCGTCTCCGAATCGCAAAGGGTCTTGCAGAATCTTGCGGTACATTTCGTTGACATCTTCAGAATAGAATGGTGGCAGCCCGGTGAGCATCTCATAGAGCAAGACACCCAGCGTCCACCAATCCACTGCACGAGTGTAGCCATGCCCGAGCAAAAGCTCAGGAGCCAGGTACTCTGGTGTGCCGCAGAAAGCTGTTAAGGTGTCGTGCAGTGTCAGCACATGGTACTGAGAACGAGCTTGAGCCGCACTTGTCCTCACTATTCGTCGTCTCGGAATCGCCCATGTTCAATTTGCACAGACCAAAGTCACAGAGCGCAATGTGGCCCGTATAGTCGAGTAGGATATTTTCTGGTTTCAAGTCGCTGCGAAAACAGTGCAAACAATGGATCAGCGGGTGGCAAGTCTCCCATCGCTCGCTGGTGGTTGGTGCGGCGACTCACCGATAAATGACATTGAAGCCATGCAGGTGCTCGAGGGCGCAGAGCAGCTCTGCAGCGTAAAAGCGCGCCCTCTCTTCCGAGAACCTGCCTTCACGTTGGAGATGGTGGAACAGCTCGCCACCGTTGACAAATGCCAGGACAAGGTAGAGCTTGTCGGGAGATTGGAAGCTGAACTTGAGGGGCACGATAAAGGGACAGTTGACCTTTGCAAGCACTGTCCTTTCTGCCAGTGTGTGTGTCACCTCGGAGCGCGAGACGATGTGCGCTTTCCTGAGGGTCTTGAGGGCGTAGATACGTGAAGTGTCTCTCTTCCTTACTTGCATGACCTGCGTGCCACGAGGGCCAGCAACATATCAGACTTGCGATGCTTAAAGCCACAGTGCAGTCTTTCCGAGCGCTCACCTTGCCGAAACTACCTTTGCCAATGACTTTGAGCAGGTCGAAAGCCTCCATGGTCAGTGAGGATCCCCCCAAATCGGATTTGTAGGAGACGTGGACATGCAACTGCCCATTTCCAACGCTCAGCGGGTACCATTCGTCCGTAGTGCGCTGTTGCTCGCGGGCATGGTGTTGATCGTGAGTGCCACGCCGTGCGCACAGCAAATGCAGAAATCGTGCCGCTGTCGCTCACCTGGTTCTCGAAGTCTGGCACCCATTTGACTCCACCAAGGTAAATGTCGCTGACACCCATCACATCGTCTCCTTCCCCGTCCTTTTGCGCCGTATCACCATTATTACCGTTCACCTTGGGTCCGTCACCAGAGCGTAAGTAGCACTGCAGAGAGATTTCCGAATTTCGCGAGACATCGCTGTGTTGATGAGGCAGCACGCGAAAACACGGCAGCGACGCTGTTGAGCTCCAAGCTTAGGGTTTCTGCTGCGCCGCGAAGACGCCACTCACAAGTTGGCCTTGTACATCCAAGTGGGGTTGGCCAGGTCTCCACCCATGGCATCGATCAAGATCTCGTTCTTGTCGAATTCAAGGACGAGGTAAGGCAGCCACCAGCACTGCCTTCTCTGAAGGGACTGTCTATTGCTTCCGGATCCTAAATTTTGAGCTCCAAAAGAGCCAACACCAATGCCGCCTGAAGCCTGTGCTCTCTCGATAGCCGCAGAGACTTGCGCACCGGGTGGTAGTGCTAGTCCCTTAGCATCTATCACTCCGATGGTTAGCATACCTGACCTGGGTATCGGTGCGCCATTGGAAGAGGAGAGCGAGTTGGCGTTTGCACCAGTAGGTAGGCCAGACGTGGCAGGTGTGGGCGTCGCACTGCGATCGATGGGCGTCCCTTCGGCGCTCATGGAGGGCGATCGCGCTCCCAGCGCTCCCTCCTTGATTTCTGCAAAGCGAATCCGCAGCGATCCATCTTAGCAGGCGTCTTACACAACATGGCGTGGCTATACCACTCACTCTTTCCAAGCTTCCAAGACATGGTGGACAGTAGTATAGAAAGTGTATGTCTACGGGCTCAGTGCTTGTGTGCCCCAGCAAGAGACTTGTGAGAGTAGTGCCTGGCAAGACACAGGTCGGAGGGCTGACCACGACGTATTGCGCAGAGGTGCGTTGACGTGCTTGGGAAGTGACAGGTTTGAAGACAAGTGCAGAGCAAGGCTACCTGGAGCACCCAAAGTGGTGCGGGATGGCAAGGCCAGCAGGGCGAATCTGTGCAGCCGAATGTGCCTCGTGGAACGCCGATGCGCGCCTCTTGAGCGGCGAGCAGGCGCGAGCTTAGAAGGTCCGGGGGTCCGTGCGATGAGCGTGAGGTCAAAGCACTCGCGCGAATGGTCGAGCGATGCACACCTGTATATCCTCGTCGGGAATGTTAATGTTGCGCGCCTTTGCAATCTCGTACGTGACAAAGGGTGGTAAGAGGGAGGATAGCGTGTGGGTGTGAGTGTGAGTGCGAGAGAGGGACTAGGGCAAGCAAAGGGAAGTCACCCATGATGAGTGATGAGGGGTTAGCATGCATCCTGCAGGTCAAGTCAAGGTGTTGGCTTTTCTCACCTTTGCCTGACGCGGGTGCCTGGGCCGGTCGCGGTGCTATGCATGGCTCCACGCGCACTCGCACTCGCGGACGGCTCAGCAGACCCCTTCGGGCTCGTGCGACGCAGCGTGGGACACCGGGCGCTTCTGCATGCTATAGAGTGTGCTGCATGGGGGCACGCGTTGCGCCGCATGCGACCAGCAGCTCCAAAGAATCACATCTTTGATTAAGCTGTTGTGTACGGTATCGGTATCGCTTATTTGAAATCATCCACAAACCTGGTGCGGTTTAGCTTATCAACATTTAGAGCTGAGACTTGCATTTTGAAAACAAGTCCAAGAGTTTGGATTCTTGATTCTGCTGGCTGTCATTCACGATTCACGATTGTGTGGGTGGTTAAGCTGTTGCATGGAGTGGCGGTGCGATTCGAAATGATGCGAACATCAACGTCTCATCGTCGCCCCTGGCACTTTCGCGTCGCAGGTGTGATTCGATTTTGAGTCGAATCCTTTGGCGGGATTCAGATAGCGCGAAGAGGTCGGCTTCAAAAGTCACGAGTCTCGCTCGAGTGGCATGTCCCTTCGATGACGTCCTGGTCGTGTCAAAAGGCCATGCAGGCCCCTCATTCAAACGGGCTCAGCACGCAAACGCAGCAAACCTGTTCACTTGACTACTTTTGACTGGGCGCCACCGCAAGTAAGCGGCAGGTGAGCAGAGAGAGGGGTTGAGTTACTCCGAGCTTAGTCACGTGCGTCCTTTCACTCTTGACTCTGACTGGTGTTTCCGCACTCGGCGCGAGCTCTGTGTGCACCGCGGCGGATGATGCATAATCAAAATGAGATCAATTCTGCTCATTCTCATCATGCTTGTTCCTGACCTCCAAAAAGCGACCACCATGTACCCAATAAGTCACAATCGTGAATTATAGGCAACGATCAAGCATGGAAGCAGATTCTCCAATAGTTTGCGTGCTCAACAACAAGTGAAGAAGGCTCGGCGGAGCATGAAGACCAGGAGGCCGCTGTGGATGGGCCTTTACGAGCCAAGGTCGACTTGCGACGGTACTCGCCCATGATGAGGCCAGCCCACTCGGACGGGCGCAGGCCGCTCGAAGCGCGCATGCTTGTACCATCGTGGCTGCCGGGAGTCTGTTGACCATCCATATAGGCTCTTTCATCGAAGACGTTTCGTCGCTGACTGCAATGTGAATAATGCATGGGCTCTCGCGCATTTGAGCGCCAGCTAGGATGGATCAATTGTATGGGAGCGATTTCAGCACTCGAGCCTCTGACCGCGATCGATGCGTGGGCCACCTGTCCAGCAGTGTCTACTTCGCGTCGCACCTGAGTGGCAAAGCAACTTGTCTCGTGGTAATCTGTGAAGCCGTGTCTAACAGAATGATCTGGCTGCTGGCTCGAGTACACAAGAGGGCCCGCTCATTGCATGGCCACCCAGCACCACGCAGACGTGTGGGTCTGGGCTTTCACTACATAGCAGCTGCCGCTCAAATCACCAATATACGCGGCCGCCCGCGTCTTCGCACAAGCAATCACAATGGCGCGCGCGAGGCCTGGGGTCTCACCATCACGATTGCACGGGGCACGCCATCCGACCGGCACATCATACCCGTTCGTCGGATCATGCTTAATACGTCTCGCTCCCACTACTACTACCACTATTTGGAGCAACATACCGCCCGGAAAGTGATCCCGCTTGCACCGAGCGTAGCAAGCTACACGGGGCGTAGCAACCAGGCAAGGGCTGCAAGCTGCAAGCTGCACAAGACTGTGCCCTCAATAATGGGCAGCACCACACCCTCCCTTCCAACCAGCTGGCTGTGCACCTCAACATGCCCACAGTCGACAACGCGCTTTAGGACCTCACTCGCGCTGGTACACCCTGCCTGCGACCCTGCGTGATCCACGAGGCCGGGCCGGGCCGCGTTCTGACCACATGGGCGTCGTTCCTGCCGGTGGCTTCTCATTTGATTCAGATGGCTGCGTCATTCAGCAGGCAATGAGCGAAAACCGCAAGGCGGGAAATACCTTGGAATTGGTTCATACTCAGGACACTGGGGTCCACGCCGACATCTTTCGCCATCCGCGCTCAAATTCGCCTCATCCTCCCCACTCGTCATGTGTCTTGACAGCGCCAAGGCTGCCGGCCGCACGACGGAGCGTTGCGATCGGGCCTGACCGAATTGTGGACGTCTTCTGGAGGACAAGTCGCTGTATATAATTAATTGCTTCGCGTGCGTACTCCTCGACCTACTGCCTTTTCATCTTACTCTAGTCATCACTGGAGCTGAACTCTCTCTCTTGTCATAATGAAGGGACTGCGCGTTCCATTCTTTGGCTTTGCCGTGGTTCTCGTAACGCTATGCAGCGCCCAGCCGCTCGAAGCTCTTCCTTCAGCTTTCACACCATTCTGGTCTCGCGAGGAGATTGGTGGAACAGGCTGGGGAGCCAGATCGGCCCCACCAGGTGCCAGGCAGCCATCAAGCGTGTCCTGCCTCGATACTCCTTCGCCAGTCGTCCGCGTCAATTCGAGTGGACTCTTCTACTCTGGATTACGCCTCTGTCCTAACGAACAGTACAATTTTGACCAAGAGCTCTTCCTCGGCATTCGATTTGCCAGACCACCAAAAGGTCAGCTGCGTTGGCGCAGACCAGTGCCGCTCGACTCTGGCGATGCGCACGCGCCAAAGACGTACGCTGGCGAAAGGTCGCAGGACGGCGCAACGATTTCAATGGCCACATTGTACCCTCTGACGTGCCACTACGGTACCGGCAACAGTGTGACTGCGCTGGACGAAGATTGTCTAGGGCTCAACATCGTGCGTCCTTCCAGTCCGTTTGCGAGCAAAGAAGGCGCGCACGACGACCATCTGCTGCCGGTGCTCGTCTGGATATATGGCGGAGGCTTCATCGCAGGATCTTCCTCCGCTACTTACTACAACGGTTCCTTCTTGGTCCAGCAGGCGCAAGAACATGGGAAACCGATCATCTTTGTATCCATCAACTACCGCACGCTCTTGGGCTTCAATGTCAAAATCCCAGATAATGTCAAGGATGAGGACGATGCCAAGCAAGGCAACATTGGCTATTGGGACCAGCGGCTCGCTTTGACGTGGATACACGAAAAGTGAGTAGGGCAAGATTCGACGTGCAAATCCAGTCATGCTGATCGACCTTCTCACCCTGGCTTCACAGCATTCGGGACTTTGGCGGTGATCCGAAGCGTGTCACGTTGATTGGCGAATCGGCGGGCGGTATGTACAGCGGTCCTTTTTGGTCTCGTGCTTGAGCTCATGCCGGACGAGCACCTCTCGACATTGGCAACAGCCGTGTCCGTCCTGCAGCACCTCGCAGCGTTCGACGGCAAAGATCCCTATGAAGCTCAACATGGCGCTCTGTATAGATCAGTGATATCTCAAAGTCCCGCGGACAGCACCCGCGAAGATTCGCGCTGGAGAGACCAATCCTCGCATCTGGCATGGAAGAATTGGACCAATGCTGCAAGTTGCAAGGAAGATGACTTTGTGTGTTTGAGAAGCCTGACCCAAGAAAAGATTGCCGAAAGCGCTCTAAATGGCACGGGCTGGCATCCGCGTGTCGGTGAGTGTAAAGCAGCTCAAGCGCGCGAAGCGGGACAGGAGCGCAAGCTGACTTTGGGCGGAGTTGTTCCTAGACACTTCGCTCAGCCCTCGTACGCTGCTGCAAGCGCTGCAGGGAGGATTCTTTGCGAGGGACCGAGCGGTGCTCATTGGAGGTGTGACAGACGAAGGACCTGGCTTCGCACCTCGCAACCTCTCATCCGTCCAAGAATTGCGAACCAACCTGATCACCCCTCAACTCATCGATGACGGCAATTACGTGCCCCCGCTTGGATTCTTTCCTCGCGATGCAAGCATCAATGAGACTGGACAAGTACATCCGGTCATCGAAGCGAAGTTGGACAAGCTGATCAGTCTCTATGGGTTGCCGGATTCTGCTTCGACAGGGGCGCCCATCATTTCTCCTTACGGTCAGCCAGCGCCGAACATCATTGACGGGGTAGCGAACGCTATTTGGGGCGACTATCTGTGCGCACGCATCCACTCATTGCGCACAACATGAGTTGTCCTGTGCGGGAGCTTACCTTGATCCACTTTTCTGCTCGCTCAGATTTGTGGCAGTCACACGCGCGTATGCAAAGGCGTTGGTGAAGTACGGCACAAAGACTTGGAAATATCGATACTCGTACCTAGTAAGCCAAGACTCCGCTCACAGGAGACGCCTGATGGGGTTTAAGGGAGCTGAGATGTCCATCTGTTCTCTCCTCAGCGTCAGTCTCACGCACCTACAGTCGCGACTCCTCGTGGTGTGTATCACTTCAGCGAAGTGGCCCTGGTCCCATTCATCAATCAGCTCTCATGGGACCAAAACGTCAATGCATTGCCGCCCGGAGATTCGCCCGACCTGGTCGTGGCCAAACGGACGGTAAAGAAGTGGCTCGACTTTGTCTACGATGGCCGTCCCACATCCAACGAAGAAGAATGGCCAGAATACGGAGAGAGTGCAAAGAATTTTGTCATTGATGAGGAGGATTCCTTGGAGGATGACGTGTTCCGAAAGGAACAGCTTGACTTTGTCGTCGACTTGATCTTGGACCGCGTCAAGCAGTAGATGTATCTACGACTTTATGGGGCTTTGCCGCTCGATCACGAGTGTGCTCACAAATACATCAGTGTCACAAACAGCTGCAAATTGTGCATGTGTGTGTGACAAGTGACAAGTTCTGGTTTTCAAATTTTGTAACGCTTCTGTTCTGCCCTTTCAAGCACCAGAAAGGCTCGCTCGCTTTTGACCGATGTTTCCGACCTTGCGCCTTGCAGCTAGACTACTATGGCAACTTCTCCGCTTCTTGTGTCAGGCCTTGCAGATGGCCTCATCTCTCGTGACTGTGCGCAATACTCATCGTGATTGTCTGGGGCGCTTGAGAGAACGAAGGTGGACTTCCAGGAGCCAGAGCGGCTGGAGTCGTGAAAAGAGTCATGGCAACTAATAGCATGCGAGGATGCGCTTCTTTGGCGGCCTTGCACGTGTGCACTTGGAAAGCAATTGGCTGTCCACTATCAGACCACATTGTGATTGTCTGGGGGTGCTTGAGAAATTGAAAATGGGCATCCATGAGCCAGAGCGCCTGGAGTTGTGAAAAGAGTCATAGCAACTCATAGCATGTGAGGATGTGCTTTTTTGGCGGCCCTGCGCGTGCGCACTTGGATAGCAATTGGCTTTGGGACCACATTGCTTGTTGGATTGTTGGGGCCGCAGAGATTGCAACATGCGTCACTTGCAGTTCTGTAGCAAGACACCATGGGATCTCCGTTGGTCACTGCCAGAGTCAGTAGTGATGGAGGACACTGTGTCCGTCCCTTCCATCCTTCTTCTCACCCCATAGGGCGTTTGTGCCTTGCTCAATTTGCCTGAGCTGCAAAGACTGGCTGCCCGGCCAAGCTAAGAAGCCTGAGCCAAGTCCAAGCGCCAGCCACATGCTCCATTATCCACGTCCAAGCGCGACTGGCTGCCGCAACAGCTGAATCACTGTTTATGACCAAAGCCGCAACCGCCACAGCTTCAAGATGCTCTTTGTGTTGTTTGCGGGGGCACAAAAGGCTGATGGGCCAGTCCTCTTTGTTGAATGCGGGAATGTTGACCGTTCCAAAGAATGGCATGGCAAGCTCATAGCTCTTCTTCGACAAGGGTGCAAGTGGACCGACCATTGAGCAACCTATTCCCGAAGTGAAGTCGGTGCCATTGCCGACGCGCTAGATTGAGCGCCGAGGACCTCTTTGCTACCCATGACGGGGTCACCGCGACCTGCTGTTGCAACGCACTCGCGCGTCCGAACGTTTGTCAGCAAAGAGATATGTAGGTGCAGAACGCAGCTAAAGACTGATCACTGTACGAAAAGGGACCACTGCGTCGGGATTTCGTGTATCTGCCAGAGCCGAAAGGTTTGGCTAGGGGAGGCTGAAAGCTGCCCGCTAAGCCTTTCGAATCTCGGGTACGGGTCTTATAAGCACAACACTCCTGACTTGCGTTTGACCCAACTTTGGCCACACCGCGTCTTCCAGGCGTGCTGCCTGCCTTGCCTCGCCTCGTGACTGCCATGGCCGCGGGGAACGCGAGTCGGTAATGATGCTCGCGAATGGCTCGGTAAGATGGACCCTTCGATTTGACTTGTGACCATTTTTGCAACTCCATCTTCTCTCATTTGCGGTCAAGGAATGAATCAGCAGTCCGCCTTCGTTCGGCAACATGTCCAATCGAAATGGCCCGGTGTGGTGTAGACAGACACATCGCTCGTTCGGCACGTTGGTGCGCGAGG